CAACGTAATATATAAACGGTGGTATCAAAACCTAACAAACAACATAACTACAAAAATATTTTTGTAACAAATATAACACATTATTTTGCAAAAGTAACAACCATAAAATCATAGAGAATTGGAAGAGACCTCAGGTGACATCCAGTCTAACCCACTGCCATGCAGGGATCAAGTCATTATCTAGCCAACATTTTACTAGCTTGTCTGCAAGATTATCATGCAGACAAGATAAAATTACTGAAATTGAGATGTGCTGAATCCACAGCATTCCCTTCATCTACCAAGCTTGTATCTCTATCAAAAAAGGAGATAAGGTTAGACTGGCATGATTTGTTTTTAAGAAGCCTATGTTGATTTTAGTGAGCATGGCATTCCTTTTGAGCGCTTACAGATTGTCTGTTTAATGATCTCTTATAGACTCTTTCCTGATATTGATGTCAGGCTGACTATATAGTAATTGATTGGGTCCTCTTTTTTCATTTTTCAAAAATGTGAACAACATTTTTCCTCCTGTGCTCCTATCTGCAGGAAGTGTACAGGTGGACTGTACAATAAAACACTAGGAGCATCATTATTAACTGTCTTTGTGATGCCAATTGCATGGTTCCTTTGCTCAGGGCCCTTCCTCGCAGCCATATAACCCAGAATATTAAGGCAGACAATTGCACAATATCTACTTTGAACTGGGTTATTTGAATCCTCATTGCCATATATCCCATTATCAAAGCAAATAATGTGTGATTTAATTCAGCTGTGTGGCCTCAGAAAGGCAAAGCTTACTTGGATTGTTACATTCACAAAGTGGTGTGAGACAAAAATTAAAGTTGGATATTTTTCATATGTATTCTAGTCAATTAAAACTGGCTCTTTGTACTCTTTTACTGATTTATCCAAGATGGTGATCTGGCTGGCTCAGGTTTCTTTCCTTTTTCAGGCACTCAGAATGCCGTTGGAAGGATCAGGCTGGATAGTATTTCAAGAACTAGTTTTCATTAGCCTTACCAATATCTTCTTTGGAATGGGGAGAAGTGGGAAGGGAATAGATTTAAAGATGCCACTATTAAAAAACCAAAATGAGAATTATTTACAGGCAAAGTGTTGGAGAACAAGATGTGCTTGCCCGCAATCTCTCTGCCAGTGGCCTGGGCTTCCAGCTCCACCACCCTGTCGCTGCATTAAAGCTCCTGCAGAATGGAAAAGATCAGACCCGCATCACACAGCCGAGAGAGCTTTATCCATCCTGCAGGCAGCCCTGTGGCGACTGTGCTTTGTTTGTCTCCAGATAAGCAGGGAACCTGAAGTTTAAAAGACAGACTTGAAACGAACTGCTGCTGTTTATGCACAAGAAGGCTATTAAAAAGGAGGGGGAAAGAGAGAGAAAGAAAAAAACAGCCTTTGACTCAGATGTTTTTCCCTCTTTGTTGCCTAGCCAAGGCTTCCTGCTCAGGATGCCCCCTTCCTTCTCTCTCTCCATAGCTGGTAAATACCTGTTTGAGCGAGCAATGTGGCCTGTTGGGCAAAAGGAAAATGCAGGTAACAAAAGGAATGTCACTCATCTCATGGGGGGAGAAAAGAAAGACAAAGGTGTTTTGGACACCTGCAAAGTCAAGTGTGAGAAGAAGGGTTTTTACCTTGAGCCTAAAAGTGAATTATTCCAAAGCAAAGGCACTGTCATTTCCATTCCCCTGCACACATTCTCTCTCTATCCTCTTATTTTCTGCCTCCCTCCCTCCCTCTTTCCCTAAGAAGCCAGACCTTTTCTGCTGATTTACAAGAGCTCCAAAATAAATGGAAGGAAATTAAATCCTAAGCACTCTGCACTTGCACAGCCATAATTAGTGCTGCCAAAACGAGCGCCTTTTACCTGGGCTAATCGTGACTGATTCAATCGTGCTTAACTTGGTGTGTGGCTAAATTGATGCTTGCAGGTTTTCCTTTAAATGCAGTCTGTCGGTGAGGAGTGCATTTATCTCTCTGTCCTTCTGGCTGTGTTACTTGAGAGCTATTTGAGGTTTTTTAAAATATTTTATTTCTCTTGCTCTCCCCCTCTCTGTCCTCAGCCCAAGCAGAGAGCCCTATCCCAGCTGTCTGCAAATAAGGACGAAATTTACAATAGCAACTTCAGTGGGGAAGGTGGAGGAGCTTGGAGGGGCCCTGCCCCGTTTATCTGTATCTAAGGTTACAATCTATCTATCTATCTAACACGCTTTCCCTCTCTTCTCGAGACACAAAAAGGGAGGGAGGGGGAGAAGCAGATGAGAGCAGCAGCTTGGATGCCCCTGCCTATGTTATTGTATCCATTTTCCAATGGCAACGATGTGTGAAATGAAAATTGGACAGAGCTGGCTGCTCACAGACCTGGAATTTCATACAGCCTAGATGGGGGAAGGAGGGAGCAGAGACACAGGGAAGCTGTTCGAAATGGGAGGGAACAGGAGAGCCTGCTAGATGGCTGCATGCACCCATGGCCCGGCTAAATCACGCACCGGTTTAATAGACCTTTGAAGTGGCAATGCTGGGCGTACGGCACCCATTTGCATTTCATTACACCAGAATGCGGCGCTTGTTGGTGGTAGTTGAGACAATCGACAGGAGGAGAAAACCTGAATGCACACAGGGAATTTCCACCCATGCCTTTAGCGAAGTCCTAACATCCTGTCTGCCATTTTATGAACATCACACAGTAGCTGGGCATAGGATAACAAGCCCTGGTGTGTGACACATTCTCTATTATGCTTGACAGTCATTCTGTCAGTCCTGCTGAATCACCATTCCTCAAGGTATGGTACACCTGTGAGCCTAGGACACAGGTGAACGGGTCTGTATAAATTGCTTATTTTTCCTCCCGTATCCTGTCCTACCTGTCCTCAAGTCAAAGATAGAAAAGATACTATGGGCCCTTCCACACAGCCATATAACCCAGAAGATCAAGGTGGATAATCCACAATATCTGTTTTGAACTGGGTTAACTGAGTCCACACTGCCATATGATCCAGTTCAATGTGGATTTTATACAGCAGTGTGGAAGGTGCTTATGATTCACATGGAATCCCTTTCTCACCTATTCCTGACATGAAGTTCTCCTCCTACAGCATTACCCAATGTTCTTTTAGACCACTTCCTGCTTCAAAATCCTAAAAAAACAAACAAACAAAAAAAAACAAAACCCAGAAACACCATTTATGGATTTCCTGTTAAACCAGGGATTCTGATTTAATAAACCAAGATGACTTTGCATCAGGATCAAGTCAGATTTTTAAGCCATCTTTAAAAAGCAAAGATGGTGTTCATTATTGTTTTTTTCCTGAGAGGAAGGTGCATTTAACTGCACCCCGAGTTGTAAACAAATTGCTTTCTTTGTTCATATGAATGGAAAGGCAGATCTGTGGCCTGTGCCTGCTTCTCACCACATTATGGCTTATAAAACCATAATTTCTGGCTTAATGTAACACTGGAACATGCCCAATCTATCATGTCTCATGATTCTAGAGGAAGGGTGCTAAAATGCTCCAATCCTCTCAAAACAAGTGGGAAAGAGGCAGAAATTAACAAAATGGAAGAAATCTCTGGTTCTCCTTTCCAATTAATTTCAGCCAGTTTTCATTTAGGTGCAGCCCACTACTTGGGTCAAAGATTTCCTCTGTGTGCTTCACAATTGCCTAGTCTTGCGTAGCAGTTTCTTTTGAATTATACTTGCCTGACCTATGGGGATGAGAATCTCACAAGATCAACCTAAAATGATAACTACCCAAGTTTAAGAAATGCAAACACAGTAATAGGGGGTTATATACCATCTACATTTTTTTTGGAACCAGACCAAGGACAGATCAACAGGACTTCGCTTATTTCTAAGGGATGCATGGTTACTTTCTTTAATGCATGACTTTAAGGGCTTGTTCAGATAATTCTTTATTTACTCTACACACACTTGTCACATTTGTTATGGGGGATATCACCTTTGGTAGATTCTATTGTGAGGCATAACTGTGTTTTTCTAGCACTCAAACTGCAATTACTGTATATTCTCGAGTGTAAGCTGTTTTTCAACCCTTTTTTTAGGCTGAAAAAGTCCCCCTCGGCTTATACTCGAGTCAAGGTTATTTATTATTTTACTTTATTATTTTACTTTATTATTATTATTATTTCATTTATTATTTTATTCTATTTATTATTATTACATTTATCATTTTACTCTATTATTATACATTTATTATTTTACTGTATAATCGTTGTTATTGCTACATTCATTATTTTACTCTTTTTATTATTGCTGTAATTCCATTTATTATGTTACTCTCTTTATTATTATTGAAAGGATACGTAAGCACATTTACATTGAAGAAGGTAAATAATTATTTAATCAGAGTTGGACAGTCTTATCTTAAATTACCATTTTTGTAAATATTCAAAAATATATAACCTACTGATTCCTCAATTAATGTAATTTAATTGGTATCTATTTTTATTTTGCAATTTACCAGTAGCTGATGCATTTCCCACCCCCAGCTTATACTCCAGTCAATCAGTTTTCTCAGTTTTTTGTGGTAAAATTAGGTGCCTCAGCTTATATTCGGGTCGGCTTATACTCGAGTATATATGGTACATATTTGTTGAAAAAATATGTACCATAACAGTTCGAAGAAAACACAAGGCCATACAGTCCAAAAATCAAAACACTCCCTGAAAAATAACCCACAATAGGTCCTTCAGGATGGTAAACAATGCAGCAAGGAAAGTTAACCAGGTCTCAACTGAATCCACCCACCATCGGTGTAAGTGATTTCCAAGGAAGTTGCTTCAAACTTTCCCATAGTTAAAATAAGAATACCACTGTAAAGAGAAAGTATGTGTAAGTGTTTGTGTGTGTATCTCTGAGGGTGTGTGTGTGTGTTTTGCACAGGTCAATGGCCAGCAACTCTGAGGATAAGCTATGCAATTATTCCTATGCTATGCAACCTAATGTGCACTAGCTCCCATGGGCTTCTTTACTCTGCACTTACCAAGGTCTTCGTCGGACGTCATATAGGTCAATCTTATTAGGTGCCCTCCAAGGGGTGGCTGTAAAGAAAAGAATTAATAAACCTATTACTGTTCTTGCAAATAGAGAAGGTGTTGACATTAGAAGATTTGATAGGTGTAGAAGGGGCAAAGCAAAGGTTAGATAGGGAGATCCTCCTTCCATAATATAGACAAACATGTTGCTACTCTGGAAAGTATTATTAGAAAATGAGACTGGACCAGCAATGACAAATTGGCAGGGATGCTACAGAACGGAAGGGAACAGAAGTGCAGTTGCTTCAGAACCCAGGTGATGGATTATGCCATATGACCACTTGTTTTCCTTGACAGCATTCTGGCCTTAGATTCTGGGGGAAATTGTTATAAACAGTTGTATGGACCACGTACCTGTATTAAGTATACAGGAGTAATGGATGTGTTGAACTTTCTTTCAAATATAATTTTTAGTTTTGAAAGTTATTCTTTGCAGATGATATTTTCCCACAAATACACTCCTTTGTTTCTTTCCCCAGGAAAGTCACACCTATTTGGCTTGTTTTTCTAACACAATACAATAAGATTTTTAAAATCTGGTGTTAAAAAAGAGAATGATAAATACACTAGTGTTATGACAAATTTTCTTGAGGCTTACTTTTATAATTTCACAATACAACCAACACTGGTCCTTTTTGAACTCTCTTACCCTTGGTTATAATTGGGTCTTCTTAATAGCTGGCTTTTATTAATCCAAACTGAATAGCCAGTACCACCTAGAGAAGATGGCTCTGCATCAGGATCAAAGCAACAATCGCGTTGAGGATTACTCTGCCCTTTGTTTGTGGAGCTCAGAGCAACATTCTTAAGTTAGGTAGGGAAAGAATTGCTTGCCCATAATCGTGGGAATAGTACTCAAGGTTTCACCTACCTGGATCTGGCAAAATATATCCTATTTAGGAATTTTGAAGGTGCTCCAAGCAATTTAATGGTATATTTCCACTGGGAGTTACTATGGAGTCATCCTCGAAGATTTAGTACATTCCCAGATTGGATACCACTCTAGAGCAATTCTATAACTTTTGACAGAAGTCATTCATTATGTATGGTTGTTTTGCCTTTTGTTTTATGTAGATTTAGGTATAGGTATAGATATGGGGTGGTCATGGCCGACAGGGAGTTCTGGCGTGGGCTGGTCATTGAGGTCACGAAGAGTCAGAAGCAACTGAACGAATGAACAACAACATAGATATGAAAACATCCAGTATCACTGGATTGCCAATTCCAAAGAATCCTGGTCCAATCTGTATTATATTAGGTACCCTGTTATCTTCTACATTATAGAATGTAAATACAGAGTCATTGCTCACATTTAAAATAGTATATTTTTGCTCAATTACTTTTGCATGGAACAAACCTGGGTAGAAGCGGGTAACGCCTGTGGCACTTCCAAAGACCTGCCACAGCAATGATGGGTCTTCTTTCCGGTTTTCAACAAATACATCTTCCAAGGCTTCAGTCCAGTTTAGCTCATTGAGGATGACAGTGGCTGCAAAAGGCAGAGGGGGGCAAAGTTGAATGTATGGAGGTCTTGGAGATGAAAAAGTAAAAGTGGTCATTTTCTGCCATTTAAAAAATTCATGACAAAATACAAAGGGGACCGAAGTGTTGAACTCTTAATTCTAATTGACAACAGTCCACATTTTTGATGCGCTCAATGATATTGGATTGATCACTACAAAGGGCTTCCCAGGGAATGTATCTGTTGTCTTCCTGACCATTCCTGAACTTACATCATTTGTATCTTATTTTCCTGGTTAACAACAGTAATATATACAACAAAAAGCTCTATAGTTAACAATATAAAATCATCTAAAAATCATAATTTTAAAAATAATTGAAACACAGAGTGCAAACAATATCAGAAAAGTGTTGTCTATTGGTAGAAGACCAACAACAAGGTCAATACTAATGTTATTATCATGATAATAAACCCATTGAAATAATCTATCATTGTGCTTATATGACCAAAATACCTAGAGGATTTTTGCAGTAGTGAAAAATGATTAATTACACCTGGAACAGTGTCTAGTGGTATACTGGGAGCATAAAGTCAGAGTGGGGTATTGATCTAAGCATCAGAAGAGACGTAGGCTCCAAATCTCAGCAAAACAGAGTCACCTTACATAAGAACATAACAACAACACAGCCAATGAATAGGGGATACATCTGATATACATAATAGCACAAAGAAGTATCTAAAAGAAAGCTGTCTGTCTTTTCACTATACACAATACAAATCTATGTAGAAAATGTTTTGAGACAAATATAAGAATCAGTTCTAGAATGGCTCATAGCCGCAACCTTCTCCGAATATATTGGACAGCAATTTCCATCATTGTTTGATGGCACCAGCTTGGGGAAGGCTGGCCAACATAATTAGATTAGTTGTGCAAAATTACCCTACTTTGACCTTATGTAGTGTTTTATATAAATAGAGAAATGAATAGGGTCTCTACATGTGACTTGCACCAATTATTACAATTATGAACTCTGTTCTACCACCCATGATGGAATATTACCTTTGGGCTTGCGAAGCCGTGACTCCCACCGCTTGTTACTAAAAATTTAAAACCGTTCACTTGCTGCCACCAAAATATGTGAGGAAGACTCCAAAATGAAATAATGGTGTAAAATCCCAAATAAATAGGATCACCACACAGATGTAATAAAGATTTGAGACTTCTAGCTTAAATTGCCACCATAATATAAGTGATATTGGTAAAAATGATCTATGGTTATCCTTATCTGTGTTGTGAGGCACCTTGGGTAGTGTGGAATG